GTTTCTTGTTTCGAAAACAATCTGTGCTTTGGCACTTTGGGTGTCTTATGGCAGGAAGGCAGCATAAAAATAAACAACAACAACAACAACAACAAACCTATAGGATAAACATGATATCTAATTTGAATTTCTTTAAAGTTCTTCCTCTTCATAATACATTTAAGGAAATTAAATTTGTAACAATAAAATAGGTAGTGTAGCTTGGTGGTTAAGTGCATGAGCTATAAGATGGTAAATCCCTAGATTAGCCCTTCTCAACCTTAGATCCCCAGACATTGTTGGACTACAACTTCCATCATCCCTAGGTAGCAGGACCAGTGGTTATAGATGATAGAACTTATAGTCCAACAACATCTGGGGATTCACAGTTGAGAAAGGCTGTTCTAGGTCAATGAATTCACTGAATGGCCTTAGGCAAACCACTAAATCTGATGTGCAGCCTATTATTATTTATCTCATTGCTTTTTAGAAAACATCTCAAAGCAACTTACAATATAGCTAAAATACAGTAACTTATCAAGCAGATAAATCCATAAACACAACAATAAAATATTAAACTTATTAAATTAATGAAGGAATGAAGGTGTTCATCCATCAACAAGACTCAAAAGGACAAATCAGGTCATAGATCATATTACTGTACATTATGATCTAAATTTAGACTGAAAAGCCAGGGGAACAGGAATGTCTTTTTCTGGTGTTCAAAAAGCTGCCACTGTTGGTGCTATGCAGGGCTTTTTTCAGCTGGAACTCACTGGAATTCAGGTCCGGCACCTCACAGGTGGGCGCCATTGCTATTATAAGAGAACAAGGATGTTGCTCATGCTGAGGCCTTCATGCTGAGTTCTGACATCTCTTTTTCTAGAAAAATAGCAATGGTGCCACGTGACTTTCCTGGGGAGAGTGTTGCACAATTGGGGAGCTATCATTGAAAAGGTCCATTGTCTCATTGACAACCTCTGTACCTTCATCAGGGGAGATACCCAGAGAAGACCCTCTGGTGGTGATAATAAGTACTAGGTAGGTTCATATGGGGAGAAATGTTCCTTGAGATATCAGTGTCCCAAGCCATATAAGGCTTTATAGGTTACAACCACCATTTTTGAATTGAAGCCAGAAACCAATTGGTAGCCAGTGCAGCTGGGGAAGGATTGGTGTTATATGCTCAGAACATCTAGTCCCATTCAGCAATCTTGCTGCCAACCTCTGCACTAGCTGCAATTTCTGAACCATCTTCAAAAGTACACTCAAGTATAAGCTATTGCACCACACGAAACCCAGACAACAGAAGCTAGGCTATCCCCATCCAAACAGTTGCAGCTAGGCCACCAGCCTAAGCTGATGGAAAACACTCTTGTGTCATGGATGTCATCTGTGCCTCCAGAGACAGGAACAAACCCGGAAGTACTCCCAAGCTGCACACCACTTTCATTAGAGAAAGTGCAACACCTTCCAGAGAAGGTTGAACCCTATCTATCTGGTCTAGAGAGCTACTCACCAACACTGACTCAGTCTTATCTGGATTAAGTATGGAATAGTATGGAAACAGAAATATCACAGGGTTGATGCATGGATTAGTGATGGCTCACTTTCATGCAGTAAATCCAACTGATGTCAGTGACATCCATTTTAGCCTTGTCACAATTGCCTTTCTCTGGAGTGGGTGGGTGAGTGGTATAAACAATATCACCATCAGGGTGTCCCACATTTATATAGACACCAGAGGAGCAGTTTGGGGTGAAGTCAAAGAGAGATGGCAATCACACAGCATTTTAGTATCATAAGACCCAGACAAAATATGTGAAGAGATTTGAGCTCTTAGGGGAAAAACCACACACTGTATGAATTTTGCTTAAAGGCTAATCTATAACACAGCATTTATTAGTTAAGTGCAATATAGCAGATACTGTTTAAGAGCAGATAAGGTTATCAGTGTAGTTTAACTGCAATTTTAGTAGAGCATGTAGACAAATAAAATGCTAGGTCAACTAGCTATTTAAGAAGTGGAGGTAGCTGCCAATGCAAGTGTTTATTTAAAAAATTGCCTATTAGTTTGTTGACTACATCTCTGAGTTCTTTTCTGAAAATGGTTTTTTGCTGTGTTGATTTATGCAGATGAAACCAAAGAACAACTAAGGTCAAGGCAACTGACATATACAAAGTTCTGTCTAATGTGTTTTGGAACACACATTTAATTATTATGTTGCTTGGCCTATAGGTAAAATTGGATCAATTCAAATAAGACAAATGGTTTGAGGGGCAGGTGTTGGATGTTGGTGGACACAAATAATGAAGGGGTCAAATCATGCAATTTTGTTCTCATAGCACACTACATGGGGGAATCATCAGGAGATAATTATGCTCAAGCTCGCAGATGAAGGGATATCGCAACATGGGTTTAAATATTTCCTATATACCCTGAAATAGTGCACATAGTGAATTTGAGGAAATGTATTTGGTTTTTTAACACTCTATACGTTGTTGAAAGTAATAGCACAGAAAATGTAAATTTCAACATTTTTTCTGTTATATTTTAAAAAATATATATCTGGAGAATCTCCTCCCATTTAATAATCAACAATATGCAGGATGCTGTACAGAACACCGGCTGTGCATGGAAGGCTTACAGTTATTAGTTAGTCAAATGCCATAAGGCTCAAAGCAGGAGTCAGTGGTTCTCTTTAATAAAGGTAGGCACAGCAGTAAATTTTCATCTGTACAGAGGCTGCCAGAGAGCTAAAATACAGTATAGCACGGCTAGTAAAACATTGCTAAATGCATTTTGCATTATGCAAATATGAATGAAGATTAAGATCCACAGTTCTAAAATGGCTTTATGATAAGGCATTTAGAATGGCATTTAGGGTGGGCTTGAACATTCATTATGTGTATGATGACAGATGAAGAGTCTTATATTGTTTGTTAATGGTGTATCAGTCAATCCATGTTGGGTTGCATGGACCTGTAAAATTGGATCCTCAGTATGAAAACTGAATTAGTTACTGGCAAAATCGAAGCCTACAACTGGTATCCGAATTGAAAAAACATACTGCACTTCCACACCTTGGCTGTCTATTTTTTTTAGCTGACAGCAACTTTAGTTACCCAATTATAAATCTCTGGAAATAGTCCTTAAAAGAGAGAGCCTGCCTGCAGCCTTACTTACAGCGGTGCAGATTGATTCTTTCTTTCATCTTACATTATATGTTTCTTTATAGCACTCTCACACGTAGCCCAGTAAAAAAAAAAAAGGCTTTCCCAAAATAACCTTGCTTTGATGATCATCTTTTTGTTTTTTGCCCAATGTCTCCTGCAAGGGTAGAATTCTGTACTCTCAGAAATCAATAGAGATTCATCTGTTGACATTCTGTGGCTTTTCCTGTCATCATGAGTATCCACAGATTGCTAAGTAGTAATGAGATTGGTTGCCATGAGGCTCCCAAAAGAAAGAAAGGTAGGATCCAGAATGGCTCAGATGTTACCTTTTATTAGACCAATTATGCTGCTAGGGCAGAATAGAAAGTGATCAGAAATCTCCTGAGGAGAGCAGGACCCACCTGAAAGCTTTTCTACTGACTCAGCCAACAGAGGTGGTCACTTTAAAAGATTTAATCTGAAACATTTTGGTGTTTTTTTTTTTAGTGGGACAGCCAATGCAGTCTACTGGATATAGTGTCTGATATTTTAAATGAATTTTATTTGATAAAAAGTATCAAACCATGAACACATACACTACAGTGTTTGGGTTTTGGGACACCTGGGCTGGACTTGTATAAGGGCAAGCAAGACAAAGAATGCAAAAGCATATTGCGCGTTAAAATAATTATATAAAATATCATGCTAGAGAGGGTGGTAATAGTGAAAGTGCACATGCATGCAAATGGAATAATTAGTTTCAGATGGTCACATCTATAAAATATACCTTTGCTACAGAAAGCTAAGGTCAGGATCCCACTTTGTAAACTGCTTTAGGTTTTATTACAATCCAGCAGTATACAAATCCTGTGAAACAAATAATAAATAAGTAGGATCCAAAAAGACCCATGTGCACAGACTAATGATATGAACTCTCCAAGGTTTCCCTTGCAGTTGCAAGGGCTCGTGCAGATACTGGAGACTATTTTACAGGAACCCCTGACTTTTCAGGGAAGTAAGAGGCTTCTGTGTGAAGATAGGCCTCAGAAGCCTACTGTGTATCTGCAGAAGCAATGCTGATGCCTTCAGAATACCACCCAAAACAAATGAATACTAAGTTTGTTGTTAGGAAGGTGACCAGGGGGTGGGTGGGTGTGCTTTCATGGCAGTGTGATGAAGGAAAAAGAAAATGAGCAAAAAACCCACAAATGAACCCAGAGGCACTGGCTTTCAGCTTTTTGGTTAGGTTATGCTACTGAAACTGATGCCCTCTGGTTCCCACCCACCCCCGGTTTTCTTAATTACAGTAGTTAAAAAAAATTCCATCCATCTCAGATACCTGTAGGAGAAGCATTGCTTTTGATCAAGCAGTGGTCTGATCTCATGGTCTTTAACTCACTTGAGTAAAACAAGAGTCATGATGTGTATGCAAACTAAAATGGAGAGCTCCGAAGTTTCACTGAGATTTCTAATCAGCAGCACAGCTTCAGATCACTCTTCAGGCTTAGAATAATTGACCCGCCACTGTGGCCAGAGCCTGGGGAATCCTGCAATTACCACCCCGAGTTCCACTTCCTCCCCACCATGCATGAGAATGCAAAGGCTTCTTCCCACCCCCACCGCCAGCTACCAAAGTGGGGCAAGTCAATAGACACTCGCTGATGAGAAGCAGCCAAGCTTTTGCCAGCCCATTGCGAGGATCCAATAACCCTTCTATGCCTGTGGGGGCTGCCCTTTCCCCCAGCAAACACCCTGCAGCCCTGAGCTGCTTTTTAAAAAAATTATTATTATTATTATTGCACATTCAGTCTTGCCTCCCTCTCCAGCGCATCCCTCTCCCTTCCCACCCAACAGTTTCTCTTTACCTTGATTGCTGGAGACGTGGCTGCAGCCCGCCGGACACGCTGTCAGCAGAGGGAAGACCAGGCTAAATTTCCAAAGGAAGAAGCCCCTCATTTCACTGCTGCCCATGGCTGGTGCTGGAGCCCCTTGTCCTGGCCTCCGGGAGAGGCAGGGGGCTTCAGCTTCTCTTCCTCCTCCAGGCTAATGGGCAATGCCTGAGGCCCCAAGGGGAAGGAGGGTCCAGGCTACCAGGCGCTGCCAAGTCTGAAGAAATCGCATCCACCTGAGTGAGAGGGCGTCCTGAGCCGAGCCAGGCTCCCTCTGAGCAGCAGCAGAGGCCGAGGGACACCGTCGAGTTGGGAAGGCGAAGGGCTTGAGAGCAAGGCGAGGAGCGCACGGCAGGCAAACTTTCCCTGGCTGAGGCGCAGTGTGCGTAAAATCCGTGTGTGTGTGTATGTGTGTGGAGGGTGGGGGGGAATTGCCCAGCCTGGTGGCGCCCACCTGGCTGCCTTCTTGCGTCTCACTTCTCTTTCAGCCTTGCAGCACCATCCCGTTTAGTGGCCGCCAACCCCACAACTGCAACAGCCTCCTGGGGGGCAGCGACATCTTCGCCCCCCTCGCCGAATGCCCGTCCTCCCGGCTGCCCATGAGGGGCAGGCAGCGCCCGGGAGCCAGAATAATTTCCTCCCTTTGGTGGTGGGAAGGTCCTCTCGCCGAGGCGCCTTCTCCGGTCCGCGGCTGGAAGGTGCTGAAACGCTGGACAGCTCCCCGCCTCCGCTCAGCCGTCAAGAAAACTTGCCAGGCGGGATTTCCCAGCCGCCGCCGCCACGGACTCCCCTTGGCTGGGACGGTGGCTCCCTGACGCCAAGCAGTCGCGGATCACACTCAGTTGGGCTGGTTGTCTTCCGCGCGCCTACCGGCATCTCCGCGCCTTCCCATCGCTTGCGGTTTGGGGCTGGACCATTCTCTTCCCCGCCCTGCCCTCCTCCTTTGCTTTTCTGGAGGGTGGTTGGTTTTGAAGCAAATGAGTCCTGGGCAGGGGTGCTAAGCAGGATCAATATTACCTTGCGTCCGAGCCGGCAGGAGGGCTGCTGAGGTTTTCTGGGCACGCCACATTTCAAGCAGCAGCCACCGCTTGCTGCAGAAATCCCCCCCCTCTCTCCTCCTTCCTCGCCAAAAAAAGAGGGGGGTCACGATAATATTGGATCCTTAAATGGGTGTGTGGGAGGGGAGGGGAGGGGAGGGAGGAAAGCAAGCAGTAAAAGAAATCGGACTCTTGTTGTGTCACCTCCCCAGTTCTCTGGAGAAGAGGTGAGACCGGTATGTATATGGATGTGTGGGGCAAAAGGCAGAGAGGGAAGATGATGCTCTCGCTTAAGCTGAGAAGCTGTGAGCAGCCCGCGGGTCAAATACAGCCTGTTCGGCACTAGAGGGGGTTAGTTGACAAGACAAAAAAAACTCCGAAAACAAAACACAAAAAGGTCTCTCTATTTTGCTTTTGGAGGGCGGCTGTGGCTAAACTTTAAAATTGCATTAGCTTAAAAGGACACTGGTAATCCTTAGGGCGCAGGTGGCAAGTTGTTATCTCCAGCTTTCTCGCCACTCCCCAACGCAAGTTGCTTTCTTCCTTCGCTATGGAATACTTATTTTCCCTTCTTATTTTCTGCCACTCATAATGCTCAAGGCTAAGGTCACGAGGAAGGTGAGCGATTGGGGGTTGGGTAAGGAAACTGGAGCACTGAATTCAGAAGTTTTAATGTAGGCACATCTCACAGCATCGAGGTAAGGATAACTGAGATAACATAAGTGAAGCATTATTGCATTAGGACGCAGCTGGAGAACTTGTGGCCCCTCCAGATGTTCCTGAACTGCAATTCCCATCAGCCCAAGCCAGTGTAGCCAGTGGCCAGGTGTGATGGGAACTGTAATTCAGTAATATCTGGAGGCCCATGGGTCTGGATTAGGGGAATGCTATATAAATACTGTTCAGTGGTGGCACAAAGAGAGCTAAAACGTCTTGGGGGAAAAAGGGGGGGAGGGGATTACAATAAGACTGTGAGGCAAAGGGAAGCTGAGTGGTGTAATGACGTGAGAATGGAATGCCTGCACCAAGATCAACTGCCCTGAAGTACAGTTGTGTGTTTTCAGCCACTGGAGAGGAGCATGCACGGGCGCTGTGCCCTCCCCGGATCTGGCAGCAGCTGAATGCCACTTGATCAGCGCTGATCAGCTGTTTGGCAAGATCAAAATTGGGGGTGGAGGGAGCTCTGGCCAAGGCGAGACACAGGGCTTAGCTGCTACAAGTGGGGAGAACAGAGGAGAGGCTGGTATTGAGGGTACTGGTAGCAGCCCAGCTTTTTGCCTGGGTCAAAGCTTTTGTGTTGCCTGACCTCAGTGAGTGTGTCTGCAACAGCTGCAACCTCAGAGGCAGTAGACTGAGCTGCCAAGAAGGAGGGGCAGGAGGAAAAGGCAACCCCCTAGCTAAGTTCCTTGGTGGGGGGGTGAGGGGAAGAGGACCCCCATAGTCTGGGGCCAGGGAAGGGATGGAGAGGGCCAGGCAAGGGAAGAGGCACCTGAGATGCTAGCCAGCTCTGTGGGATCCAGGACGGTTACAAGTTCTGTGTCTCTCCAACTCCCTGTGAGGAGATGGAGGGCAGGACTACCCTGCCTCAAGGAAAGCTGACAGGAGTCTCAAGTTGAGATGTTGAGGATGGGGGCAAAACAGAGTTGGCAGTAAGAAAGGATCTGGGGGAGAAAGGGCAGCCTATGCTATATCCACTGATTTTTACTGAAGAAACGGGTGGGGAAGGTGAAGGGAGAAGGAGGGCACCACTGATTCAGCCAAGGAGGAACGACCTGGGAGCCTGAGTAAATGAGGAGCCTACCTGGGACAGTGCTTGGGTGATGGACTGGTCTCAATCAAAGCAGCATGTAGAAGCTTGCTTGCCTGAGGGTACATCAACACCCCGAAGCACCCTCTGTTTGGAGGAAGGGTGCAGGGAGTCCCTAGTGAAGGTAACTAAGGGAGGGGGAGCACAAAGAGCTGTGTACCTTTGTCCAGATGCCTATAACATCCCATTCAACTACCCAGCAAACTTTACCTCATTGACATGGAATGAGAACACAGGACTCCCTAATCAGAAGCATAATTTCATTTTCACACATTTTAAAAAATAAATAAATAATCAGAGTTTTGGAACATTTGAACTCAGGAAGGTGCTTCGTAATCACTATTGTTGTCTTCTCTGGCTTGGTTCTCTGAGGTCTCAAGCAGAAGCTTTCCTTGTCTAGCTACTTGCAAGCAGTGTCCTTGTAGAGGCCAGGTGCTGAACCAGGAATCTTCTGAATTCAGATCTGCAAGTGTTTGACCACTGTCTTATGGTAATGCTCTTATATCTTGGAAAACATAGGAACATTGCAATGAAAGAATGGAGGCCTCCCATTCCACAAATACTATCAGCATAATATTCATAGTCATACTTCCAATGTGACCATGTCTGCCACAAAAGTGGACCTATGAACCACACTGAGAAAGTTGACTATATTATCTAAGTTGTACTTAGCTGAACTTTAAAAAACAAACATGTAAAAAGGTATTTTTTTTTAATACCACAGATAACACCCCAACCCTTTTATGTATTTCTGTGTGTATGTTCGCGTACTGTGTCATAGGCTGTGGGAAAAGTGACTGACAATATAACGGGGAAAATCACAGGGAAAAAAGAATGTTGCTTCCACTACCAAGCCGAGTAAAGGCTGAACTCCAAATAACCTTGAACTCTTCAAGACACAGGAAACAGTTACACAACAGAACACTTGAAAGAGCTAACAGTACATCTTAGGTGCATGTTTTGTTGGTGAATTTCTTATTAATTGTTCTTTATCATAGTTTGAAAAATTGATTCTAGAGAAACTTACTAATATTTATATTTCCATTAATTCTTTTAGGCTAATTTTCTTTAAGCTTAGAGTTAATTATAATCATTATGTGCATCCTATAAAAATCATAATCACCCTGAAAAACCTTCAGAATGTAATAGCTAGTGGGGGAGAAGGATTTATATTATCACCTCCATAGAAGGGGGTGGCTCACATTCAGTATTTTTTGTGATTAGAAAAACCAGAATGCAGATTTTCCAATTACAAATGTAAATCAGGTATGGATGTTTCACATTATCTATCTATCTATCTATCTATCTATCTATCTATCTATCTATCTATCTATCTATCATCTATCTATCTATCTATCTATCATCTATCTAGCTATCTATCTATCTGACATCTCCATAATCAGAATAGAATTTGGCACACTGTTTACCAATAATAACAAAGAACTTCCCTGAACAGTTTAAATATTATTTTAGCATGGCATTCTATAGAGAACTACAATTTATACTGTAAAATCATTTATTCCATTAGGGCAGAATCAAAGGGAAAGCTTTCATCAGACAGACCTGCTCTTGGCAGACATGCACAAAAGTGTGTGTGTGTTTATTAAAAAATATTCTTTTGATGCTAATTAACTGTCCTCAGAGCTGAGAGGAGGTATCCAACTGTCCTATTATTTAATTGATTCTCTCTTGCTTTTTAAAACATATAGAAATATAGACAACGAAAAATTTGCCAACCAACACACATTGATGGCATGCTTATAAACCATTTATTAGTCAAGAAACTACAGAGGAAGCAGCTGTGAAGCATACTTTGTCTGCAGTTTTCTGTAGGCGCCTTGTCTAGATCTGGAGGGAAGACAATCTCTCTCTCTCTTTTTTAATTCTCTGCCATACTGCATAGATCAAAATTCTGTGTGGTTGTCTTGTAAGTCATTCTTCAGGATGCAATGTGCAGTGAGATTACTTGGAAGTTTGACACTATCCCAGGTATTAAAAGGACACTGTGATCCAAACTTTACTGTGCTGTTTAAAGATTGTATATGTTTTAGGCAACAGAAATAGATTGTTTTATTTTATATATTTTTAAAAAAGGATTCTGAAAGAGATGGTATGCTGTGGTTGTAAAAAATCTATTTAACTGAGAGAAGATTAAAAAAGCTAACAACCCATTATTAGCTGATGGTTTATTTTAATAAGTCACTGTAGTTTTAGTTCATGTTTTGCCTGTTCCTAAATGTATTATTCTAAGTCACCCTATATTAGAATTTAGGGTTGCAGCCATAATTGGGATAAATGGTTCATATCTATGCAGACTGACTTCCCAGTATAGAGTTACAGTCTAGGACTACTGTTCATTTCATAGATCAATTCGTTATCCCACTTCTACTGCATCTTAATCCAATGCTACAGTTATTTCCACCAGTCACTTGAAGTGGTCTTGTATAGTGATTTTAAGACAAGGGTGCCATTCAGTATTTCATAGACCAAGCAAATGATAGGTGATTGATTATTTACAAAATTGGTGCAGAAGGGAAGAAGGCTGATTATTTAGCTCAAGCTCAGCCTTCATAAAATACAATCAAAGCCCTGTGTGCTATTCATTTGTTAAGACTGCAATCCTGTACCCACTTACTTTGGAGTAAGCCCCGCTGAACTTCATGAGACTTAATTTGGAGTAGACATGCATAGGCCTGAAATGCAAAGAGTTCAATTATATTAGTAATTTTCAGAGTTCATGTTTTAGGAAGGAAAGTGAGTAATAGTTCATCAGGAATCAAAAAAAGCATTCAGCAGAAAGGTCATGTATAATGTTTGAAGCATGTGAAGGAAATAAAACATATAGCAGTACACAATCAAAGAGAATAAGAGATGTTAAAGATGAAATAGATTTCTGCTACAAGGTTATATAAAATATGCTCTTCTTTGTTGGAAATACTGCTGGAAAAAATGTGGTTTTAAATTGATATTATCAGTTGCTGAGACTTCACTTTTCAAAAACATAGAATAAAAAACAAATTAAACAATGGTATCTTTAATTTTATTGAGATTTTGTTAGCCTTATATCCAATGACATTCAAAATCATATGGAGAAATTCAAAATATTTTTACAGAATAATATGGGGAAATTATATCACACAGTGCAGTTAAAATTTTGAGCTCTGATATAATTTACAGTCTGGTATATTTCCAACATTTACTCACTGTCAGTGGCTAGCAGCTTTTTTCTAGCAAATTTTTGCAAATTTTGTTATTGACTTGTGCTGTAGATATAGCAAAGAATGCAATAACAGATGTTTACCTTTGTGTCCTGCCAACACATTATTTCTGGTTTGATGCCAGGGATGCAAAACTATTTTCTTCTACCAACTATCTCCATTTTAAAAATATGTATATACATTCTCTGTTAATGGAACTTTAAACTGTACTGCTAAGGTGAATTGCCATCATTTTTGAGTATACCAATCTGATTTTCTTTGATATTGGTTCTAATTCCAGTAGACACCTGCTAAGTTTTATAGTTTCATATCTGAACTTCAGCACCTGTTCATACATGCCTGCAATTCATCTTTATATAAGTTGAAGTTCAACACCTGGCCCTAGAAAAATTGCTAATTCTCAACCTTACAGGGTGTGATGATAATGAGGATGGTCTAATCAGCGTACAAAGCATTTTAGAGAGTAACAAAAACAAAAAATAAAATAAAATATGGTGCTAGGTGGGTTTGTAAAGCTGATATGTCTACAAGTTATTGAGCTTTCAGCCAGTATTTCATTTGGTTCTATTCTGGATCTTAATCTAATTTTAACAAGGCATTGGCTTGTTAGGTTGCCACAAAGGTTTAGTTATCTGTGGATATAATCTTTCATTAACTGAATGGTTGTATGTTTTCTGGATTAAGCAGTGCTAAAGTCAGGAGATATGATCTCCTACAAACCCTCATCTGGGAGGAACCCCCATTGAACACTGTAGGGCTGGGATGCCATTGGAAGTCAAGGACTGCACCCACATAAAAGTTGCAGATAGATGGTAGAAGGACCCTGAGTGAAGATCTCCCAGGGTGAGACACTGGGAGAGGAGAGGAAAGTTCTCAGGTGATAGCTGGAAGAGTCTGCCATTTTCTGTGGTGAGCTGGGATTATGTCCTACCTTTGGATAGAAAGAAAATTCTGTGAGCACTATTTTTGTATTTTAGAAACCCTGATGCTGATTTTCTCCTTCCCATTTTATGCTGTTGCTCTTATGAGAATCTGTATTTTATTATGTATTTCTTATTCTAATTGCATTTATATAACTGTTTTGATTTTTATATTGCATAGCTATTAATTTCTGAATTGACGTTTGTGTTTTGTGTTGTAAACTATTTCAGCGATGACAATAATAATAATAATAATAATAATAATAATAATAATAATAATAAACATTGTTACAAGAACACAGTTTTTTTTAAATCAATAAAAAAGCATGAACAATAAAATCATTCACACACAATCACGGCTATAATACCTAACAAACTCAAGGTTCAAAACAGTTTAACTGTGGCTATATAAGCTGGAGAAAACAAGCTGATCTTCACTAAGTTCTGAAACCCCATCAATTTTGTGACCATCTGTGCTTCTGAGGGAAAAGAGTTTCACAGTCAGAGCACAACCACAGAGAAGGACCTATTCTGGGTTCCTGCACAAAACCCTTGGTGGAACCACAAGCAGGAGCTACTCTGCCAATCTTAATAGGATATTCTGTGAACTGCCCTGAGACCTCCAGGTATAGGGCAGTATATAAATTCAATCAATCAATCAATCAATCAATCAATCAATCAATAAAACAAGCCTGGGCTGCCTGATAGAAGGAAAGGCACCCCACTAAGCACCCTTGTCTGAATTTATTCAGGGCTCCATATGTTACCATCAACACCTTTGCTGTTGTAAAATTTGCCAGTTCTACTCAGGTATGAGCCTTCTTAATAGTGTGATGCCTTGCTGAGGAAACATGGGATGGGGCTTTAAGATACAGACACGATCAGAGAAATCTCATTACAAATCCCAGCCCTTGACATGACAGCACTGTAAGTTTAGAGCAAATGCAAATTGCTACTATATATTCCACTTCTACATGTTCTATTTCATTTCACAATACCTTCACTATAAGAAATAATGGGCAAATGTCATGGTTTTGAAATAAAAGCGTTTGGCTACTGATTGACTGTCAGGACCTAATATGGTATCTACTTAAAGATTTTAATTGTTTGGGTTTTTTTAGGTTTCTTTTACTTTTTCTCTCCTACATCCCATCTCAGTACAGGTGCCTTGCAGATGAAAATGAGAAAACACTGAGGTTGTAAACCACAGCACAGTACAAATAACAAGAAATGCAAACAACTCGACTTATTACCGAGACGTATATCTTTGCCCTTATCCATAATGAAGAAAGTGCTTCAGGCTCAAGAGTAGACACGGTTATCGTCACCACAGATGAATGTTCTGTTTGAACAATAACTCTGGCTTTTGTTGTGCCTGTATTATCTTTCTGTTTGGCATGATGTGGCATGTATGATTCTATGCACTATGCTAAGATTGCTTGTAGTAAAAGCAAGCGATTCATCCCACAGGACACTATGCTAATGTGGGGCATGATTGCAATCCCTTGCACAGAGAACATGTCCGATCTTGGCTGAAAATCGTTTTCGCTTTTACTATACACAAATTCCACTGTTCATGCTCAAGCATCTGCAACCACAGCACCCAAATGGAAACCAAGGCATGTCCTGTGACCCAGGCAAAATGCAAATATTCTATTATATTTGTTTATTACGATAATGTGTAGTCTACCATCCTATTAAATTCCCTGGGCAACTAGCAATACAAAATCAATGCTAGAATGAAAACATTTAAGAAACACAAAAACTCTATATACTGAAAACAGCTGGATCCAGAATCTAAACTGAGCAGTGTCAGAATCTCATGGAGATAAAACAACATAGGCAATTAAAAATAAAGCTCTTCACCAGGTGCCAAAATGCATCTAGGAGTATGCTGGGTTTGGTTTTTTTGTCTCAGCTGGAGACAATATCAGGGCTCCTGGCACTTGCTTCTTTTTGAGGTATTATAAGCACTCAAGGTCCTGAAATGTCTATCATCCGCTGTATTAGGTTTTTGTTAAATTCTTCTACATACAAAGTGTCAAAACACTTTAGCCTTTCCTTCTTTGCCCTCCCTTGAGCATTTTGGTTGTTCCTTTCCTTTTTTAGCTGCTTTTAAGATGAGGAAACTAGAATTGTAGACTGTAATCAACAGCACAATATTTGGCAATTAGTGGCATAGAATAATTCATGGCTTGCACCATATTTACATTTTTTTCCCTGTCTGCAAGCACTTTGAAAATATTTCACAGTGCAATCCTATGCATATTTATTGAGAAGTAAGTTCCACTGGAGCTTGCTCCCAGGTAAGTGTGCATAGGATTGCATACCCTCCTACATTTCTCCAATGAAAATAGGGACGTCCTATTCCATAACAACAACAACAACAACAACAACAACAACAACAACAACAACAACTCTATTATTTATACCCCACCCATCTGGCTGGGTTGCCTAGGCAGCTTCCAGCATATATAATAACATAATAGAACATTAAACATTAAAAAAAGTTCCCTGTGCACAGCTCAGAGGTCTTCTAAACATTGTATAGTATAGTTACTAATCTCCTTGGCTCAGGGGTCACATACCCTCCAATGAAAAGAGGGACATCCTATCACACCCTCTAATATATCTCCTAAGAAAATGGGGAAGGAGAAGTGGGACATTCTGGAATCAAATCAGAAACCGGGACAGCTTCTGTAAATCTGGGACTGTCCCTGGAAAATAATGACACTTGGAGGGTCTGAGATAGTTCTGTTGTCAATACATGTTCTGGGTTGTAATCAAGTAACCATTGATTTAGTTAAAAAAGTATGTATGTTTCCAAAGATTTTCAACACAAACATGGAGACAGTGTTTCTTTTAAATGCACCAGTTTAAAAATAATGGCAGGGGTGCTTCAGTTGTTCACAGTATCTATGATACAGACATGGCTGAGAGCATCGCTTCCTTTGAACTCCATGTTGCCTTTGTGACAGGAAATTCTCATAAAACATAAAAAAGAGACTTTACTACAAACATTCCCAATTAAAATAAATAAATCCACGATGACACTTGGATTAATTAACTTCACCACTTCATTAAGCCTCAGCATCTCTAATGCTTTACATACTGTAGGCTGCTTAGACGATAAATAAGAGTGGAGAATAAGTGTAGGGACAAAGTCACATCATTGGTCCTTCAAAGTTAGTATTGTCCCCACTGATTGGTAGCAGTTTTCTATCATTTCAGTCAGAAGTCCAGCCCCATCTGGAGATGTCAAGGAATGAACCGGAGTCATTCTGCATGCAAATTATCACTCCGTCACTGAGCTAAGGACTTCCTCCATATGGAATTTAAAGCAGCAGCAGTAACACTACTGTCACTGCTGTTGCTGCTATTAAATACTTTGATCATGAGCATCTCATCATAATCCCCCCCCAGCTGATTTCTCCCTCTCCCTCCCCCTCTTTAGGACACATGCAATTTAACAGTAATTTTAAAATACAAATGCAGAGAAGGTGAATGGTTATTTTTACCAGAGGTCCACACAAGATACGGCATTATCTCAGAATGCAAAAAAATAAAACTGGGGACCTTCAAACTCTTTTGCAGCCACCATCCTTCCGTCAGGGAGTTTGGTGCTTCCTTGCTTGCAGAGTTTCTCAGCATTTGCCTCAGATCAGACCCTGGAGAGTCACCACTAGGGTCTTGCTTACAGATTGTTTGCAGTCTGCATTTAAGTTGGTGGCCTCTCTGTCTAATCCTGGCAGTGTTTGGAGGGCATTTGAACAATGTGGAGAAGGATTTAAACTAGCAACTTGCTAAATGCATGGCTGATTCCATTCACTAGCATTTAGCATGGATAATGTACTATATAACACAGCTGAGGAACTACAGGAAAAGCCTGCAGAACCTCCATCTGGCTTTGACTTCTCATCCAGAGATTTCACTCAGCTTAATGCCAATTTGCTCCACAATTCTTACCTTGATTATTCTTACAACAGCCCTGTGCTGTAGGTTAAGTGAAATATAGTGACTTGCCCTGGAATAAATATGACGGTGCGGTGTTCTTGCATTGATTCCATTCCTTTCAGTGGGGAGCATTCAAGAGAATCTCCCAGCGGATTCTTCACTCAGATTTTGACTGAATACTCTATCATGTAAAACAAATTAAATCTGCAGTCATAATATTAATGTCAAGAAATTGTCTGTGCATGTGCCTGTCCTGACATAAATAGGAAAGCCTCTGACTGTGGAACACACACCGTGTTCATGATAGGAACTTTTGATTGGTGACAGTCTCTGACTGTGTAACTCACTCCACATTTCTTAAGAAGTAGATCCTACTGAGTACAATACAACTTACTTTTGGGTGTGTTTTTTTTAAATAAAGAAAACAGCTTCTGTAATTTCTTAACTTTTTGACTAGTGTTACTTCAAACTGAGCAAGCTTCCTGGCCATTATTTTAAAGCCTCTATTCTCTTCTTTCCTATTGGTTTGTCATCCAGTAATATTTTGCAATAATTTTTATTTGTAATATTTTTTAATAATTATTATTACAAATTAGTTCAACTAATTTGAATTTGTGGCCTTTGCCTAAGCAATATGGCATCAAATATTTAAAAGTGCTTACCATATGTAACATTTATCCCTTCATGTAACTGCTAATAAAATGGACAAAATCTTGGAGTAAAAATGGAAATGAACATACTATGGAATTTCCATAAAAATTGTTTAATGAAACTATTCCAGAATTGCAATAGTGACTGGCATATAAATAGTTTGAATTGTAGCTTAATATTTTATTCAGGGTTTAAAATTTCAAGAAAATCAGGATTAAATGCCAGAAAGAAACACCTTAAAGTCACCTTAAAGGCAATAATTTTCTCTTATATTGGTAAGAATAGGAAAACATTTTCCCCAATCTTAAATTTTACAGTAAATATTGCAATATACAGTAATTGGAATCCATTTTTCTTCTAATTTGACCAATACATTTTATATTTTTTTCCTATTTTTCACAATTAC